GCAGTGAAAAGAGCGTGTGGACAGTACGATTCCGGTTGCTACCGACATTGGTAGCGGAGCAGGTGACGGCCTGACTCCGGCACGTACTGATCCAGGTCATTGGAATCGTAGAACATCAAGCCTGAGCTTGCATTCCTTGCGTGCTTTCGCTTGCCTCCTCTGATCCCGTTGGGGACAGAGCCCGGAATAGATTGCTCGCCCGAGCAATCTCCGTCGGAATCGTCGAACATGTCCATTGCTGGACTCAAGTTCCATTCGGGTAGCACTGGTAATAGAATAGGCAACCCCCTGGAAACTAAGAGTGGGTCTTACATCTATTGGGGAGATCCTGCATCATTTCATGATTGGAAATTTCGAACCGAACTCCGCATCAAGCTGTACGACCAAGCCCAAACGCAACCAGCAAAGAAGCAGGATCCCGTGACTGGACCTGCCGACGAAGGGGAGCCTTGGCCACCAGAGTCAGACGAAGGATTCGCATTCCCTTCGCTTGGACACTATCCCGAGGAGTTTGAGCCCGAGCCGCGTGAGACTGCCGGTACTCCCAAGTCAAAAGTTGATGCAACATCACCGAAGGCTTCGTCCGTTAAGTCAGACAAGTCGAGTATCATCGATCGCAGTGTCCTAGTGAACAAGATCGTAGAAGGTTTGAGAGGTGATGCATTTTTGCTTGCCAGAGACTTAGGTCTAGAGACACTCGCACGTCCAGGGGGACTGGAGCGTCTCATCGAGGTGATACGTAACCATGTGTTTCCTCGAGCCTTGGAGGAGAGTAAGGAGCTTTTTCGCGCAGGACAGAAGCATGGAGGACCACTGTCGAGACAGCCTACAGAAAGCATGTTGTCGTACACTCAGCGTCGACGACGCTGGTGGACCTTGTTGGTTGAGCTTGACCCCACAATGATGATCTCGGAAGCTTTCCGCACAGAGCTATTGTTGGAGATGTCAGGTATCTCTAGGCAGGAGATCCTTGTGGTGAAGGCTTGTCGCAAGAACGATGACTTCGAAGGTACTGCACGAGTCTTGGTTGACAACTACAGTGGAATCCATCTTCGTGAAGGGTCCCGATCCTGGACAGGACGGGGAATTCAGCCTCAGGTAGGCAAAGGCAAAGGGTACCAGAAGGGGTACCAAGGTAAAGGCAAAGGTAGCCAATACCCTCGTGCTGGTTACAATGCCGTCTATCCCGATTGGGAAGACAATTTCGATTGGAGAGATGAGGACTTGCAGGAGCATCATCATGAAGAAGATTCTTTCGTAGGCATGCTAGGAGGGGTTGAAGAGTCTGAAGAACATGAACATGCTAGCCATACCGAGTACGAAGATTTTGAGTATCATGATGATGTTGATGAGTATGAAGCAATTGCCTTGAATGCAGTAGTTGATTGCGAAGATGCCGAAGAACGTTCCTCAGGTGATGCTATCCAATTGCAGCTTGCCGCATTCGTCGCTTTCGGGAAGGCAAAAGGCAAAGGCAAGGATAAATTCAAGGGGAAAGGTAAAGGCAAAGGTAAGATAGTAAAGTCTCACCTTAGCATCGAGCAACGTCGACAGAAACTGTCCGAGATCAAGGCGAAATCCAAGTGTCTTCGTTGTGGTGGTCTAGGTCACTGGGCCGGAGACCCCCAACGTAAGATGCCCAATGCCCCGAAGACTGGATCGGCCCCGAAACCAGCTGCACACATTGCCCACATGAGTGATTCATCCGAGGACGAAGGGATTTTTCTAGGTGCGGCGTCTCCAACCGACAGCGTTGCTCACATGGCCGTGAAGGCCAGCTCAGGAGTTCGTCCGGAGGCACCAGTGAGTCCCAACGACCTCGTAAGGCCTGAAGGGAGCGATAGGAAGTTCTTAGCTGGACAGTTCAGGGGGAAGACATTTTGGCAGATCCTTCATGAACATCCTGACTACCATCGATGGGCCATCAAGAATGGCAAGAGTCCAATCGCTTCGGCTTTCGTCACATGGGTTGATCAGCATTTTGAGTACAGGGGAGCTTCAGTTTTCAGGAAGGTTGGTGGTGCTTCTTCTTCATCGTCATTGCAGCCAATCCCAAAAGGGTCCTCAAGGAAGAAACCACCATATCCACCAAAGGAGAAATGCAAGAATTGTTCCGAGTTCACCAAACAAGGGAGCACAGCATACACCATCAAGAAGACATGCCTTGTCTGTGGGAACTCCACCACTGAGCGTAGAGAGCAGGCCCCGAAGTTTGCATATGACGATTGCCCGCACTCGGACACCGATTTTCGAGGTTCTTCCAGGTCTGTTCACCGTGTGTTTTGCAAGCTTTGTTGTTCGTTTTTGGATGAGACTCCGATGGAGCTCCAAAAGACTAGGAAGGCAGCCTCTGAGAAAGTCGTCAACGCACCGCTCGATAGGATCCCAATGATTGAACGTTTGGTTGAAGAGGAACCCGAAGAAGGACACACCCCCGAGATGCTAGAGAAGATTTTGACTGAATTTGCCGCCCAAGTCGCGTTGGCAGCCGAAACCGAGGCCGTGACTTCGATCAAGCTGCACGAGCTCCTCCACCTGTCCATCGAAGAGAGCAAAGGAGACTCGTTCACCATGATTGATTACACCGAAGATCCAGACCCCTTTGCAGGGATCGGCATTTGTTTTCATGGGGAGGAACCTACCCAGATGACAGATGGTTTGGTGCACATATTTCACGAAGCCAGGGACATGTACAGCCCAGACGACGGGAACATCTACGTCGTTCTCGACGAGGGATGTAATTCCACCTGCCATTCAAAGCACTGGGGAGACGTCGTGGAAGCCAAGCTGAAGAAGCTGGGGTACGATTTCCCTTTCTCAACCACAACGTCGAAGAATTTTGCCGGGTTAGGTGAAAAAGGGACCACTACAGAAGGATCCCGCACATTACCCTTTTCGTTGCACTTCGACGAGGGAGATCCAGTGCATGGTGTTCTTGAATCCCACCAGCTGTCGAAAGGTCGATCTCCGCTGCTTTTGTCTCTCCATGCTCAGGCACACTTGGGACTAGTAAAGGACCTCAAGAATGGTATCATTAGTATCAATGGAAAACGCCTCAAGGTGTTCAGATGCACGCACACCGGTTTAATGATGTTGGCAATTACCCCTCAACAATTGGTCCAAAGTCTCGAAGCCACCATGCCCCAAAAGATTCCAAAGTGTCATCGCAAATTTCGTGTCGCCCTCACAGCCTTCGATACTCCGATGGAGAGATTGGATACGGCAGAGCGAGGGTACCAAGCCCAGACTGCCGAAGGTATCCATCGTGCGCTTGGCAGCATCATTGGCAATTTGAAGAGCCGTGAGTTTTTGCTGGTCACAGGAGGTGACCGGTTTGAAGACAGGTTGTCAGAGCATGTTGGCAGTGGTATCCCCGTGAAGTACATCAACGCCAAGTCGCTGTGGGATCCCGACCAGGATCCTTCGTTGCGTGGACACGTGGGAAGGCATCCGGCCATTTTGAATGGTCTTAGGAGGGATCAGAGAGGTCTTGACCGCATCTTTCGTGAGGTGGACGACTTTGTGGAGCGCCATGACAAGGGAGTTTTGGACGTGCGCTGCAAGTCAGGGCGTCATCGTTCTGTGGGCGGAAGCATGTTGATCCACAGGCATCTTGCTTCGAAGGGCTTCACGTGTGTTGTGATTCATTCTCACTCGCCTGAATGGCGTGAGATGTCGTGTGGAGGACGTTGCACTCTTTGTGGGCCGCTTTTCGGCGATACAACTGTGACATTGACTCCAGCACATACAATGAATGTTCACACTCCAAGAGCTGTTCGAGGTGATGCGGACGACCACGTGCCGTGGCGATCCGGTGAGCGTTCAACAGCACCACCACCGACACGAGAAGAGGCTATTCGCAGCACCAGTGCAAAAGCCCGCTCGCTTCCACCAAAAGCCTGCCCTTCAGTACTTTCGAGGCCATCTTCATCTTCACGACCGCCGAAGGCGAGTGACGCCGTGGCATCTCGAAAGAGCAAACCAATGCCGAGCGCTGCCGTGACCTCGCCTGTGAGGCCGGTTCCGGATTTTGATGATGCTGGCAGCCATGAAGACGACACCAAGTTGGACGAACAAGAGGTTGGAGAAGAGATAGAAGAGGTTGAGGTTGAAGAGCCAGAGATTCCAGCGGAAGAAACTTCGAGCGGAAGCCAGGAGATTCTGCAAGCCCTCAAGAGGTTGACAGATGCCGTGACGACGCTTGCAAATCGCAATCCGCGGTCCCGTAGCCCATTGAGGAGGAGAAAGTCGGCTGGTACATCAGAACCCAACCAGAGGCCAACTAGGTCTAGGAGTCCGATTCGTCCGACCAGATCAACAGTGAAGACAGCTCCTACGATGCCGAAGACTCCACCACCTCCGCCGAAGCCTGTGAGTCCGCGCACTCCTGATCATCCACCACCACCAAATCGTCCGCCGCCCCAGCTGTCCAAGTCCAGGTACGATGA